AAACTGCATTGCTTTTTTCTTTTTTTTTTTGTTGCCTTTTTTTTTCTTTCTCCTCTCCCTTAGTTACTCTGTAGGAAAGTCATGTCCTAAACAGCTTCATGGTGGGAGTCACTAGCTTCACCAGTCATATCCTAGGTGGGAACTGTATGATGAATGCGGCAGCTCTGCCTGTAGGGGGAGCAATGGCAGAAAGTCCACTGAAACAACTGATGCTCATCCTGCATCCATCTGTTTGCATAAGGACATATATGTGGTGTCTGCAGGTGAGTTAGTTCAGCAATAGCCTGGAGGCCAGGGTGGGTTGTTCTCAGTGCCAGCCTATGTACACCAACTACCTGAAACTCCTTGTGGACCTGGGCCCTTTGCCCCATGTTTTCTGTTCTGCTCTCAGGGCTGGGCAACCAGGTCCTGCACTGGATCTGCCTCTGAATCACAGGGAACCAAAATACCAGAGTTGAAAGTGTTTGGATTATTGGATTACCGCAATAAATTCAGAAGGCTGCAAGTAATTCCTATACCTTTCAATCCTTTTAACAAATAAGCAGTACTTTCACAGTGTTTGCCCTAAAAACAAACACTTCTGCAATAAACTGCCATAGACTAACTATAGGCAGATTTGCTGATGCAGTAAGATCAGTCTAAAGGCTACAAAACTCTTCCTAAATTGGGTCTCTGGACATCCAGTGTAACAGCAACATCTCGCTCTGCTGGCTCAGCAGATCTTGGGACGGACAAAACGATAGACAGACCTGGACTGTCAGGTTGGCTCAGCGGGGTTATTCTGCAACCACATGAAGCTAATTTAACCACAGGCTGAAATCTTTGATTTAATCATGGAAAGTCCTGCCAGCACCTCACCCAAACTGTGTGTTCCCGTCACATCACTGTCATTCCCATGGCCGCATGCTGGATCCCTCAGACCTACTTTTATTTTCCCCCTTGCTAACTTGATTGAGGCTCATCAAGATTCAGCTGTACTCCCCGGAGCAGGGGGATGTCACACGACTGGTAGTGCCAGCTCTGGGGAGGCGGGGGGGACATGGCATCAGGGTGGGCAGGGAGGGTCAGGTCTGTCCCTTTCTTTGGCACCTCAGTTTGGAATCATGCCCCAAGACTGGCAGTCATCCCTTGGCATCCATCCTTTTACTTCCTTTGATTTTCCCACTATGCCATTTGATTTTAGAAAGACTTGCCATCTTAAAATGATTAAAAACCAACAAGCAAAAAATCCTGCTGATCATCTGGTGATAAAGAGACTCCTATCCATTAGCATAGTTACTGTCGTCTTACTCAAGGGTATGGTGTTCTGGCTGCTCCTAGATGAGCAGATAGACAAGATTACCCCTTGGATTTACCACAGATTTCATTATTTATGCTGTATTAATTAACACATTGTTTAAATTATAGATTAGCTTCTCACTCCTGTTTACTGCATATTATGCCAGCTAGTCAGCACTAGAAGGTTTTTACTTCATCAGCCTCTGGGGGGTTTGTTCTGGCTTCTCCATACAGAACTATTAATCAAAGTCTCTATCAAAGTTTAATCAAAGTTTATATCACATAAAGCTGCAGTTCTTAATACAGACTGACAGCAGTGCAGAAGCAAAATGAGAAGTTCAGAACAATTTATTAATTCATCGGGTTTCATTGAAGTCACCACACTCCCATAGAGCTGCTGGATTCTGCTGAAACTGCATTTCCATGAAATCTTCCTGGCCAACCATTTTCCCATTGTCTACCAGCTCTA